GAAATAGAACTATACACATATGGACAACTAATTTTCCACAAAGGTACAAAGGCAATTAAGGAGAATAATGCTAGACTTTTCAACTATTGTATATCCATATGTAAAGAAATAAATTTCAACCCAAACTGACTGACTCTGGGCTTGAAAAGCACTTTTTTTCCTCTTTCCGATTTTCATCTTATTAATTCTTTCTGTCTTCAAAGAATGTTAACATGTTTACTTTGAAAAAAATATCAACTGAAAGTAGAAGCAGCTGGTCCAGAAATATGCTGCATTGAAAAGAAAAGCCAGGGCGGTATTTAAGAGCAGGTTACAGACACCCAGGAAGCCAGTGACGCACATGTAAATAATCGCAGTCTGGCCCCATCAGGATTGAGGAGATGAAAAAGGGCCGTCTCGTGAACGTATTTTGCAAGTTGAAAAATCGATTTCAGTTTGATTGGCTAGGAGAAAGAGGATGATTTCACGAACTTAAAATGTAAGATGCAGCCTTAGGCTGGAGAACGGAGATCTAAGAGTAGCCAAGTAAATAGTGCTGACGTGATCCTGACGGTCACACGATTTAAAGGCTGTGCTGATGTCTTGCCTTCCCGCGCATCAGGGTGACAGGAGGGCCTCGAGGAACAAGCTGGGCTGTTCAGAAGATAATCCCTTTGGATTCGTAAACAAGAAAGCTATATCAAAGAGAGAAAATATGTGACGTCATTGTCGGGAAAAGATTTAGACCAAATAGTTGGGGTATCTGCTATGAAAAAAAATCCAAAAACAAGCCATCTTTTCTTCCTCACTGCTATTTGACAGGAAAATAGGCGAGAAGGGACCCTGCCCCTAGCCCTGCCTCTCAAGGGGTCCCCACGCTTTCGAGCACCTTTCTTGGAATTTTTTAGATCACGCTCTGGTTGTGGGAACCAGCTACCGCTAGCAGTGCCATCCAAGCAGGACACCCCTGGACCAGGAGCTGCATGGGCCCGGCCCCCATCTTTCCGTTCCACTTTGGAGCATTCTCCCACCCTAACTCCACAGGGAGGGTCCATCTCATACCCCAGGAGTCTGGGGTTCATAAATCACCAGGTTGTCCTGGAACTTGGTGGCCAGGTCTGCTGCGAAGAGGCTGGCTGGCAAGCAGACCCTTCCCACTGGCGGGCATTTCACTTACGGGGTCCCGTGAGACTGGCCACCAGGATGCTGCTGGCACACTCACATCAAGTGACTCAGACTGCTTATATGGAGAGCCCCTGCGCCAAAAAAATATTTGCCCAGGACCACAATCCCTAAGGAAAGGCCTGGTGGAAGGGGACGGTGAATATCTGAATTAAAGTTAAGTAATCAGGTCAGCATAGAAAACACTCCAGGACATTTTTTGAAGAAAAAAGGAGACAACCTTGCATGTACACATATATCTATGTGTATTTATACACATGATTGTATTTTTTTGGTCTTGATCTCTGGTAAAAATCTTATTTATTTCCCATATATTTGGTTTCCAGGGACGTAATACTTTTTAAAAATGTTTACCAAAAATCCATTTCCTAAGAATAGAGTATTTTGAGGGGAATGGGAGATTATTTGAGAAGCTCTTATTTAAAGAAAGTACACAGAGATTTTGTTGCAGAAGTCCTCAGAGCCCCATACATGCTGATAGGGACTATGAAAAATGCAAAAGGAGATGCAGGCCCCACCCTTCTATGATCAAAGATGCCCTTTTCACAGCATCTCATGGGACTAGATGGAAAATGCTGTTTTGAAAGAATAATGCGGTATGTGCATGCACACACACACACACACACACACACACACAAACACACAGAGGATTTCTTCCTATTTAAGTTCCTGGGAGTTAAAAACATGGAGGGATGGATTTGTCCTTTATCGGGTCCATATTTGTAAACACAGAACCAGAAAAGCAAAGTCAGCCCTGTGGTCTTGATAAGCACGCATCTCCCTATAAGCAGATAAGGATATTTCCAGAGAAGATTCTGGGAAATATATATTTCCCAAATACACATGCTACATTTAAGGTTTGGGCCATTAGAGGGCTCTGTAGACCTGATGGATTTCTGTTTCCAATCCCAGGACGTTCTCAAGGGAGAATTATCGCTGTGACGAATCCTGCTGTATGAAACATACAAATCCATCAGAGATGAGGAATATTTCATGCATCACATCTTGAGCTTCCAGGTGGGATTAATACAAATGCTTTTCTTCCCCATTATGCAAATGATAAAAATAGCAAACTGGGGGCATAAATCTATTTGTTAAATGTAAAATGACCCATTAAACATTTTGAAAATAGTAAAATAAAATTTATATATAAATATATATATGAATCACTTTGCTGTACGCCAGAAGCTAACACAACATTGTAAATCAACTATACTTCAATAAAGAAAAAATAAGTGAAATTAAATAAAGCTAGATTATATCACTCAATAAGGGAGAAAGCAGACTGAAATATAAATCCTTGATTCACCCCTGCTCTTATTGTGACATGAGACTCACAGCCATTGAGTCGATGGAAATGCTTCGAGTTATATACTGGGGTCCACCTGCTAGAACCATGTTGCCACATATATCCAGAAGAAAATGACAGAAAATCCTTTCTGCCTCCTTCCCAGATTAAAAGAAAACAATCTATGTGAAGTTGAACCCCCCAAAATGCACCTCCATAATGTCTCTGGAGGTTACTTCTTTCACAGTCACCTGGCACACTGATGGACATGCCCCAGCTGGTAAGTTATAACTGGTAGACAGACAAAGCTTGATGATTTCAGAGCAGATACAGGCCAAGAAACCATAGCATTGAGTGTGCTGAGTCCAGACAAATGATATTTATATACACATCCAAATTTGAAGAGAAAATGTATTTCTTTAGGTTTCAAACACTGTAATAGATAAAAAGCAAAAATAAAAACCTGTTGCAAAGTTCTAAAAAACAGAAATGATAAAAGGCGCAAACGTGTATTAATATATATTGTAAAATGGGAGATGCTTTTCCTTCCCTTTCCAACAGCCTTGGTGTCATGCATACGGACTATCCAAACTGCGGCAAGGGGGCTCCGTCAGCTAACTGTGTCACTGCATTAGCCACAGCTGGAGACGTTTCTGCTTTGAAAGGTGCTTCCTCTCCCTTTCCTCTCCCTAACTCTTGGCTTTGCCCATCACTCTCATTCAACAACACCAGCACACGTTAACACTCTTAGGAGGACTTAGGCACCTCTTCTGGCATCTGTAACTTTTAGAAGTGCTTTGATTCTTTTTCTTCCCCCACTGTAAAGGACCCTTATATGAGCCAGCAAACTGCAAATAAAAAAAACATTTTCGAAGAAAGAACTCTTTTAAACCCCATCTTTACTTCAGAACCAGTCTATGTGTCACGTTTTCTCTACCTCAGTGGCCTCAGCTGCTACATGTCCTCAGCTAAATACACACGGCTTCTAGGTGGCCACATTCTCTATTGATGATGGAATTGTGAGGATGCTCTCGCGGGGTCCAGGTGAAAGCAACTTGAGTAAGGGTATTATCACCCTAAAACACTGTCGCTTTTAAAGTGATGTAGCTAAAAACAGAATGAGCTGTTAGAAATACAAAGGGACAGCATAACTTGGAAGTGAAAACTGCTCAAGTTTGGTGCCAGGGCCATGGCGGATGCTGGGTAAGATCATTTGGCTCTAAGACTGCTATCCCTGGTGGCATCTGTGCATCCACAGATATAATTGGTCCACGCACTGATAAAAGTGCAATTCCCCCTCCTCAAAGGAGCTACTAAATCACATTTCAAGTTCTAATTAGCTTACCAAATTCAGCACCTCATACAAACAACAGGAGGAGGAAAACAACAGCTAAAAGCATCGTGCTGATCCATAAATGCCCTCGAAAGAGATGAGAAATTATGATGTGCCACTTCTCTGCTTCTGAGTTTTCATTTTCTGAGCTCCCTGTTTTTAGCACATTATTTCCCTTATTATCGACAGGATGCAATTGTAATTGGGATACAATACGTAGTGTTGTTATGGATGTACTCAGTAATTACAATGCTGTGTTTGCACCCCTTGCAAAATGTTAAAATTATTTCTGACCCTGAGAACACCAGGAGGAAATGATATTGGCATGACATCTCTGGGGACATTCACTCTTAACAAAGAGATGGCTTTGAGGGCATTAGGAGCAACTAAGTCCTTGAGGCAATGGGACAACCAAACTGGGACAGGTGTAGGTATAACACTGAGAGTAGCTGTAGGTGGAACACACACACAATCAGGTATCTTGAAAATCAGGGGGAACGCTGGTGCCAAGTCATGTAAATGAATACATTTACTCCTGCTAAAGGTCAAAAGACTTAATATTCACCTCTTTGAATTTCATTTTCCTACTCTCTGCTAGGGAGCAATATGGAAGAAATGATAAAAGGCACAAACGTGTATTAATATATATTGATATCACCAAGATGCTGGTGACGTAACAGAAAAAGTGGAAGTGACCTGTGACCACCATCAGCGGTTGGCTACATCCATCTGATAGAATACCCCGGTCAAACTTTTTTTTTGGAAAAGACAATATTATGACATGAAAAAATGCTCAGTAAGATGAAGCACAAAATTCAGGAATGCATAACAATACAACTCGAGTTCTGTGCTGCAAAACTGATAAAACTAAAAGAAAATATAACTAAAAGAAAGTAAACCAAAATGCATCAGCGGTTATGTTAGTGTTATGATTTAAGGGATTATTAAAATTCTTCACTTTACACTTAGTATTTTTCCCAGCTTTCTATAGGAAGGATGTACAACTCTTAACAGTGGGGAAAATGAGTCTTTTCAAATACCGCACGTCTCCCATTTGGGAACCCTTTAGACACACCAAGTATTGATAAAGCAGACCTGAATGACAACTAAAATTACACTGTTGGCTTGAACATCTGCCACCTTCTTTAGAGACGAGCTCTGAGAGTCCCTCTGCTGTGGTGCTTTAGTGAACATCCCAGCTCTGTATCAGGCACTCACCTGAGAAGGCGTCGTCACACTGATTTCCGGAACAAAGTTGTCCTCGAAGAAACTGATGATGTTCTCCTGCTGCAGCTCCTTTGTTGGGGTGACTTTAGGGAGCGGTGGGACAGGAGGCCCTTTCCTTGTCTAAGAAGCATCACACAAACCAACAGGGGTTAATTCAGGCAAAGATGGCATGGGAGACATGCAGAAATGTCACGTGAACAGAGCTAGGGGAACAGATTGATTGCTGATTGAAATGTAGGTCTGCTTAGAGAAATAAGTCCACCTGATTCGGGCAAAGAACGCCTGCCTGGGTGGCCCTCAGAGCTCTGACAACCAGTGGCCCAATGAGAAAAATTCAGGCTATGAGGCTCCATCCATCTCAACCCAAGTGCTATACACAGGGCTGCGGTGCCACGTGTACCTGTGCCTCTCAAGTTAAACTAAGGCAGTACCTTCTCTGAAGTCAACTGAAAATGATTTCTCACTTCAAAAGTGCATTAGCATTCTAGAACTAACATCCAGCAAGCTTTTCACTGGAGTTAGTGAGACCACCATAAGCAGCATACCTCTCACTCGGCACTCCAGTATTTTGGAAAATAAGCGTTTTAGAGATCTATCCATTATTCATATCTTCGTACAACGTTCCTTAGTTTCAACCATACACAAGAAAGCTTGAACTGGATTGGAGACTTCAAGTTTCCCCATAGGAATTTCATTTTTGCCAAAAGCAGGGAAGATAAGGGTGGCCATTTTTCCCTGTATTTGTCTTTGCTTGGCCCTTTCTGTTTCTCTCAAACACTTGTTCCATCATTTTTGTTGAGCGCACGCGCAATATACCGCGGGTGATGCAAAAAACGTGAAATGACATACACGTCATGGCCTTTCTTGCTCCAGATGTTACCTAAAGCACTAACAGGAGGGAGGCTTCCTGGAAAAGGTAGGATTCAACAGAACCTTAAAGGACAGGATTCTGAGAAAAGGAGAGCATGCGAGCCTGAGGAAGCTGAGATTGTGGAAAGACGTCTCAACACACTCAGGCAGAGGGTATGTGAGGAAACATAAAAATCCAAGTAAGAGAAGGAAGCTGATTCCTTGGTGACGGTCACAATGCCCAAGGCTCCCACCTCAAAACCTGCCTGACTGGAAACTCTTGTCAGTGTCCCCGCCCCATAGAATTATCCCAGGTGTGGTCAACTGCACACCGGTTTTCCCAGTCCCCCTAATATTATACACGTGATCTCTTCCTACCTGCGAGGGTGACCGAGGCCGGGCTGGTGCAGGAGATGCAGGTGCCAGCGTGTGATTTGGACTAGCTGTCGGGCTCGGGATGGGTGAAGGCTCCTCGGGCGGCGATGGCGTCTTTGCAATACGGAGAGGACCCGAGTCGCTGGATGAACACAGAGAGTAAGCAGGGCTCCTTCTGAGGAACAGAACTTATTTCTCAGGGGCCCTCCTTCCCACAGAAAAACTTAGGCACTCCAGGTACTGCTGGTTATCTACTCCCTCTTCCTGTTAATTCTGCTTATTAGCAACGGTGATGTGGTAACTGGTACTATGTATTGTCCACCGTGTGCCAGATCCCGTTCATATATTATCTCCAATCATCACAAGACCCATGCACGACTGTCCCCACTTTACAGGTAAGTAAAGTAGGGCACGGAGAGGATAAAGATCCCTAAAGTCACTGGGCAATTCAGTGGATCTGAATTCTGGCCTTGGTAATGCGAACCCCTGTTCTTTCCACTGGGCCAGACAGACTCTGCAAGGATCTTCCAAACATAAGCTGAATTAATTGAACTAATTTTACTTTTGATTTTTAAGAGAATCTTGCTATGGCATAATCTATAGCAAAACCTACCCCCCCCCGAAATGATTCATGGGGTATTAAAAGGCATCCTTAGGATAGCACTCATTAAGATTTTGTAGGAGTGCTTTCTGATGACATTTAGAAATTAATTCATTATTTCTCTTTATACACCTTATGGCACAATGACTCAACTCAGACAGCTTGAAACTGCAAACATATTATGTGATGGATGAGAGTCTGTACTGTTTCCTGAGAGCCCACTACATTCCTGGCACCAGGCCAGATGCCTGTCATCAGCCCAAATGCAACGGCTAAGACACCACTTGGGATACATCCTACTCTCTAAGAATTTCTAAACTCTACAGATTGAGGGAACAAGGTCTGCACCCCCAAATAAATGAGCACGTACACAGCAGCAGGGTCTACGTATTCAAGGGGCTGAGGGAATAGGTCCCGTGGACAAGACGCGGACACATGCATGATTGGGGCTGTGCCAGCAATCATGGCCTCTGCTAGGAAGCACAGCCCCCAAATCTATGCCAAATGGAGACCCCGCTGAGCTCACTCACCACCTTGTTCTGCGGAGGAATATGGAAAAAAATGAAGAACGTTTGTCAAGTGGTCGTGGCCCCGTTTTTTCTTCATTGTATCTGATTCAGCAACATTGCAACTTCCAGATGCCTTTGTCCCTTTCCTCTCTGTGTAAGGGAACAACCTTTTCCCATGCACTGCATCTCTAAATCACCCAAATGTCACTGCGATACTCTTTATTACAATTCTTTCTTGGTTTCTAACCTCATATTGAAATAATTGTATTAGAAACAGCAGCTCTATCCCTTTCCTGTATTCTTTTAGACAACATTCTTTCCCTTAGACAAAGAAAATATACTTAATGCTCACTTAGAATAGCAGCCAGAGTAGGGACTACAAATACAGCTAGACCAAGGAGCATCAAATAAGAAAATTACCTATTTCCGGGGAGTTCCAAACACTAATATACGGAGGTGGATATATGGAGGTGGTGGTGCCTGTGTTAAGAGTATGTGTGTTTTTATAAATGCGTGTGTATCATGTATACATCGACTGATGTTAAAATCATAAGTACAGAATGTCAGGACTGCATATTACCTTAGAAGCTGTTTAGTTCAATAGCACATTTTTATTTCTGTTGATTAAAAAAGAGCTCTTAAACCAAAGAGGTTATTGAACTTACTCAAGGAAGGCACAGCAAGTTAACTGCAGAGTCAGAAACTTGAAAGCCGAGTCTTCTGACTTCCAAACCAAGCCTCACTAGCCTGCACTACTTGAGTACATAATGTCTGAGGAGGATGGATAAAAGGGATTCCCAAATCGCAGGAGAAAGCTGCTGTGAATCCAAACCCTGGCAATGTAGACCATTTACTTATGGATCACTGAGCCTTTGGTATAACTGACTGGTGTACTCAAAATAAAACCAAACCAACGTTCAACAAAACCAAAACAACGCCGTGCTTGCAAGGTCAAGTTTGGAGGTAAGATGAGGTCTCACCTACTTCCTTTCTCCTTTCCCAAAATGGATTCATTAAAGGTATAAGCACCAATAATAAGTATCAGGACTAACTGTTGTGAGTTTGGGGAATTCCCTTCTTCTCCAAATAAAGTAACAAGTGCACAACTGGAAATTATATGTAAGGGACGTCCCTGGTGGCACAGTGGTTAAGAATCCACTTAAGAATCAATGCAGGGGACACGGGTTCAAGCCCTGGTCTGGGAAGATCCCACATGCTGCGGAGCAACTAAGCCCGTGTGCCACAACACTACTGATCCTGAGCTCTAGAGCCCGGGAGCCACAACTACTGAGCCCACGTGCCACAACTACTGAAGCCCGCGCACTGCAACGAAGAGTAGCCCCCGCTCGCCGCAACCAGAGAAAAGCCGACGCACAGCAACGAAGATCCAACGCAGCCAAAAATAAATAAATTTATTTTAAAAAAAGAAATTATATATAAAAAGCTGACACTACTGCTGGAAAGCAGAGAGAGGTAGATATCAACTCTATTGTGACAATGACAAAAGTCCATGGAGATACATCTGAAGGCTAAAAGTCAATGTAAAAGCACAGAGCTAAGGCTGGCGTCAGCCTCCAGATGGAGAGGTTCCTTGGTTTTAGATCTTTGGAGGATGAGTAAAAGACCATAGGCTGATACAGACTGCAGAATTTGCAACAATCCTTGCTTTAAAGGTGTACAGACATGAACTTGGCTCTGATGAACATGGCCTACCTGGGAGCTCCTTGAATGGTGAAGGCCTTGTCAGCGTGTTGGTCACCCAATTTCGTCATCACTTCGTATAGTTTGTGGCAAAGCTAAGGGGACAGAGGCCACTGCTGTAAGTCATTCTGGTGCAAATTCAGGCTACTGACCCCAGAAAGGAATTGTTTATTGAAAAACTAAGAATCTTATGATAGTATGGATGGTCCCAGGAAAATTTAACCTCTGAGTAGGGTTCAACTTAAAATTCATGTCAAAACTGTCAGGCCACAAACACAAATAAACAAATATATATACAAACCAGAGCAGGAAAACTTATTGTTTACATTGATTCCATTAGAGATAAAGTCATACAACCTCCCTGCTGAA